GGCTATTTTTTGGTTGCAGCCGTCATTGTTGTTTGGCGGGTCCGGGCTGGGGACTCGAACCCGCCACCTTAGGTGTACGTGGCTGGCGCCTTAGCCGGTTGAGCTATAGGCGCTGAGCCTTTTTTCTTTTTTTGAGACAGTTTCACTATGTCACCCTGGGTAGAGTGCTGTGGCACCACAGCTCACAGCAACCTCCAATTCTTGGGCTTAAGTGTTTCTCTTGCCTCAGCCTTCCGAGTAGCTGGGACTACAGGTGCCCGCCACAATGCCCAGCTATTTTTTTTTGTTGCAGTTGTCATTGTTTAGCTGGCCTAGGCCAGGTTCAAACCCACCAACCTGAGTATATGAGATGGGTGCCCTAACCACTGAGCACGGACGTTGCCAGTCATTATTACTTTTGATTATTTTCAGTTATTACTTTATGTCTGACTATCAAAAAATAACCTCAATAGCTCACCTTTCCTGCAGCTGCTGGAGCCTAAGTGGCCCTTCACCATTAAGAAGTGAGGTGTTCCAAGTCCATTCTTAGGATAACATCTGCATTTCTCAACTGTTTTTCAGCCTTATCCTAATCCAGGTGATAATAGCTTGGAGATAGGACTAGTTTGCAAATATGCTCCTTTCTAAAACTCTATATTTTGTGTTCCTAGTTGTTTGTTTTTTAATTGATTTCCTTTATCCCTTTCTCTACTCCCTTTATTGTTCCAGAGAAGTAACTGATAAAGTAACCCCCCCCCCCCAACAGAGCCAGTCCATACAAAGGACTAAAGGCCCTTAGCTTCAGCAGCCCTGCCCAGTACTCAGACCAGGCCCACCACCCGCAGGGCTCAGGAGTGAGTGGCAGTGAAAGGTACCTCTTCTCTTTGATCAGCAACCTGGAAACAAAGTCCTTGGCCTCCTCTGATAGCCCTTCAAAGGTGTCAGCGTCGAAATCCCAGCTACAGTTTACAATGAAATTCATGGTTTCTGCATCTGTTTCCCCCAGAAATGGAGACAAGCCACTGAGTCTGCAGAGAGAAAGGACCATCATATATGGAAGCCACATGTGCTAACACACATCAACAGAACTGAGAACAACCTACAGGGTTCAAGTAGACCTATCCAGAACCAAGATGCTCAAAAGGAGAATCTGCACTACCAGAGGATGCAGTCTGCGTGTGCATTAGGGGAGAAGCAGAAGGGCTGAACACAGGGAAGCAGTGGGAATGTCTGGAATAAGTCCCCTATTGTGCTCCCTTCTTTTCCTCACTTGGACACTGGGGTCCAAGTCATTTTGCCAGCCAGCAAGTACAAATAGATTTAACTAAAATCAGCTTCCTAGGCCAGCGCACTGGCTCACACCTATAATCCCAGCACTTTGTGGGGGAGCCCACACCCAGCCTAGGACAATACACATATACAAAGTGTGGGGACACCAGGCAGCAGCTGCACCATACTAAGCAGACTGAAGTGGAAGGATTGCTTGAACCCAGGAATTTGAGACCAGCCTGGACAAGCACATAAATATACATATATGTTTATAGCCAGGCATTGTGGCTGGTGCCTGTAGTCCCAGCTACTTGGGATGCTGAGGCAGAAGAATTGCTTAAGCCCAAGAGTTTGAAGTTACTGTGAGCCGTGATGCCACAGCACGCTACCCAGGGTGACAGCTTGAGACTCTGTCTCAAAAAAAAAAAGGAAAAAAAGACAGAGTCTGGCTTTGTCGCCGTTAGTAGAATGCCATGGGTGTCATAGCTCACAGCAACCTCAAACTCTTGGGCTCAAGAGATCCTCTTGCCTCAGCCTCCCAAGCAGCTGGAAATACAGGTGCCAGCCACAACACTGCGCTTGTTTTAGAGAGTAGGTCTCACTCTTGCTCAGGCTGGTATGGAACTTCTGACCTCGAGCAATCTACCCACCTCCACCTCCCAGAGTGGTGGGATTACAGGCATGAGGCCCAATATACTCCAGCCTGGGCAACAGAGCAGAGTGGGACTCTCAAAAAAGAGATAAAAAACTAGTTTTCCATGTCTTTTTTGTTGTTTTGTTTTGTTGAGACAGCGTCTCACTTTGTCATAGCTCACAGCAACCTGAGAGTCTTGGGCTCAAGTGATTCAGCTTCCCAAGTAGCTGGAACTACAGGCATTCACCACAACACCCAGCTATTTTTAGAGACGGGGGTCTCACTCTAGCTCAGGCTGGTCTCGAACCTGTGAGCTCAGGCAATCCACCTGCCTCAGCCTCCCAGAGTGCTGGGATTAACTTTCCGTTTTTATGAGACCAGCAGGTTCATTTAAAGTCCATCCAGGCTACAGGCCAAAGGACAATCAGCTTCTTCAGGCTCCTGCTAGAGCACAGACAGCAAGCAGGGCAACCACCAGCGGGCTGTGGGGCTCCCGCCTGGTACAACACACATGTACAAAGGGCGGGAACACCAGGCAGCAGCTGCACCATATAGAGCAGACTAGAAGCAAAACATGACTTTGGGGGCGGTGCCTGTGGCTCAGTGGGTAGGGTACCAGTCCCATATACCAAGGGTGGCGGGTTCAAACCTGGCCCTGGCCAAACTGCAACAAAAAATAGCCAGGCGTTGTGGCAGGCTCTTGTAGTCTCAGCTACTCAGGAGGCTGAGGCAAGAGAATTGCCTAAGCCCAAGAGCTAGAGGTTGCTGTGAGCTGTGATATCAGAGTACTCTACCGAAGTCGACAAAGTAAGACTCTGTCTCTAAAAAAACAAAACAAAACATGACCTTGGGGCTCTGAGGAAGCATCTGGGGGATGCTGGAGAGAAGGGGGGTGTACAAGGTCAGAAACAAGGTGGGCCCAGGACACTGCAGCATCTGCCCCACCCCACTCTGCTGGTGCACGGCAGCCCCACCTGTGCCACAGCACCTGCACCTCCTTGCTGGAGGGATTCCCTCTCCAGTCCAAGAGGCACCCAGCAGTGCCAGGAAATTAATTTTAGCCCTACTCCCACTTAGAGTCAGGCCTAAGCAGGTAAGCAGTAAGAGCTGGTGTCTAAGCGCCCTACCCGCTTCCCAAATGGAATGGCTCCGATGCTTCGAGGTGGGTTCCAGAGCACCCAGTATGAAACTCCAGTTGCCCTGAGTCAAGCCTTACTCCAGGGTCACTGTTACTTTTGATTATTTTCAGTTATTATTACACTTTATGTCTGTGTATTGAAAAAGCCCCATCGATCATCTCACGGCTTTTGTATAGCTGCAGAAGCCCAAGCAGGCCTCACAGCCAGGAAATGAGAGACACAGGCCTCTGTTTTAGGGAATAACTTTAGGGTGTCTCAACTTCTTTTCACCACCAGCCTATCACAGTAATAACTTAGAAACAGAAGGACCTGTAAATGTGTAGTGACCAACACCTTTGCCATCTACCATGCTCCGCTGCTGGGGTTCCTGAGACACCTCCCAAACAAGCCACTTGCACTCTATCACTCCTCCTAATAGTGAGACAGACAGACTCACAGCATATAGGTGATGACTCCCACACTCCACATGTCTGTAGGGAAAGACACGAACTCATAGTTGACAACTTCTGGAGCCAGGAACTCAGGGGTGCCGAAGTTCACCTTCAGCTTTTCCCGAGGCTTGTACCTGGGGAAGAGGGACACGGAGAACCATGGAGTGAGGCCTGAGAGAAGTGTGGGAGCGAGGGTGAGTTCCCTGGTGAGGTGGACAGTCCCCATTCATCCCATCAGCCTGGCTGTCCAGACCTCACATCCACACGGCACAGGTAGCTTAGAGGGAATGAATAATCACAGCCCAAGGTCCCAAACTTCAGGCTTTTCTAATCACAGGTAAAATCAGAAAACCACAATCCTCCTCCTCTAGACATTTACAATCTGAAATGGAGAGAAGATGAACGTATCTTACTCAGCACGCAGCCAAGTGACCAAGCACAAAGAGGGGACAGCTGTTGTGGGGCCTGCCCTGTGGATGTGTGCCACATGACTGGAGGGATGACTATAAAAATTAGGAAAAGGGGAAAAGATGCTCATCATCACTAGTCATTAGGGAAACATACATCAAACATCAGGATGGCTACCATATAGAAAATGGAATGGAAAACAGCAAGCGTTGGTGAGGACGTAGAAAAACCGGGAAGCTATGCACTGTTGGTGGGAATGTATTAATAAAATGGTACAGCCAGAATGGAAAACTGTACAGGTTCTCCAGAAATTAAAAGTAGAATTAACATACGTTCCAGCAATTCCACTTATGGGATTGCTGATCAGCCAAAAGAACTTAAAGCAAGGTCTCCAAGAGACATTTGTATACCCTTGTTTATAGCACCATTATTCATAATAGCCAAAAGGAGAAAGCCACCCAAGTGTCTGTTAACAGGTGGATGGACAGACAAACCTGTACATACACACAATGGAGTATGATTTAGCCTTAAAAAGAAGGAAATTCTGACACTTACTATGACACAGATGAGCCTTGAGGACATTATGCGAAGAGATATAAGACAGTCACAAGGATATATGATATGATTCCACTGGCAGAAAGTAGCTAGAGCAGTCAAATTTACAAAACCAAGGGCCAGGGAGAGGGGAAGATGTGGAGTTATTTAATGGGTATGGAGTTTCAGTTTTGCAAGATGAAATAGTTCTGGAGATTGGTTGTACAACAATGTGAATATACAGTGGAACTTCCATAGCTGACTACCTCCCTACACCTAGACCTCATTAAATTCACATAATTTTCACAAACAGGACATGCACTGCGTGTCCATATCAGCACAGCAGCCCTAGTTCCTGGTGTTCACCCCCTCTGCCGTGTTGACCAGTTTAACACAGTCCCTTGGTGGTCAACTCACAGAGGTTAGGATACATTGTAAATCAATCCCATCTTCTCTTGCTGCCCAATTCCCCCAAGCTGGTACTTAAACATTTGCCAGTATACACAGCCTGCAGATAACAAATCCTGTCCACCTGCCCCTCTGACTACTCAGAGAGACCTTTTCCAACTTCATAGTGTTGTCACAGCTAATGTTCACATGGCAGTGAGTCGTCTATTATTTGAGACTCTGCTGTGTGCACTAGTGTGTGTGCTCAGCAAGAGAGTTATTGCCCACAGTGGCAAAAATAAATCTTAGTTATTACAATGGGCTGTGGCTCTCCAAAGGCCCATGGGACATAAACAGATGCATGGGACATTTGTGGTATTAGATTTTATGGGTTGGAGGACCAGGCAGTTAAGGGAAGAAAGTCTAAAAAGGCCACTGGAGGGCAGGCAGCAATAATAAAAAGTAGGCTGAGAATCATTCTAGCACATAAGAGGTGCAAGTGTGTAGAATATATCCTAATGTTATAAGACATTGTTGGGAAAATATTAAGTAATTTTGCTTTACTATGAATTAAGTATGATTTTCAAGTGGTTTTGATTGGAAGGATTTTATACTGTTTGTGAGATACAATACACCATGCAATACAGACCCCCAAGGTACAGCAGGTTAAAATCTCCTTCCTACTGTCACACTAAGAGCATGTGGGGCTGTAAAAATACATCTTCATCCCTGCAGACATGCCACCTTCCCAGTAGAGATGTGACCTGGGAAGATGCCACTGTGGGTGCATAGCTCCCTGAGAAGCAGGAGCCAGAGATGGAGCTGAGGTCAGGCGAGCAGTTCTGCTCCACAGGGACCACTTCCTCCCACCTGCAGGTGGAGTGGAGGGCATCATATGGCTCCTAAAGTAACAGAATAACTTCTTAGGGGGACTCAGCCATGGAAGGAAAGAAAAACTTTAGGAAAGGTTGAAAAGTCAGTTGTGGGATATAGTGCTACCCAAAAAGTGTAAGATTCCCAGTATAAGATGTCCCTCTTGGAAGAAAGAGATTCCTGGAGATGTTTATGGATTGTGGATGGTGGAAGGTGTGGGGCAGCTTTCCCAAATGCCAAGGGTCTGCTGCCACCACTGAAAATCCCCCATGCCACCAGGTATGTCTGCCAGAGAGGCACCGTGTTTAACATATCTGACTGCACAGTAAAACCATCTATACTACTAGGCTTTTAGCATTTGAGAGGACTTTAAGATATTTCAAAACTTATATACAAGGCTGGGTATGGTGGCTCATGCCTATAATCCTAGCACTCTGGGAGGCTGACACAGGTGGATTGCTTGAGCTCAGAAGTTCAGGACCAGCTTGAGCAAGAGCAAGACCCCATGTCTACTAAAAACAGAACAACTAGGCCCGGCATGGTGGCTCACGCCTGTAATCTTAGCACTTGGGAGGCCAAGGCAGGTGGATTGTCTAAGCCCACAATTTTGAGACCACCCTGAGCCAGAGCAAGGCTTTGTCTCTAAAAATAGCCAGGCATTGTGGCAGGCACCTATAGTCCCACCTACTTGTGAGCCTGAGACAAGAGAATCACTTGAGCCCAGGAATTTGAGGTTGCTGTGAGCTATGACACCACAGCAGTCTAGCAAGGACAAGTGAGACTCTGTCTCAAAACAACAACAACTAAAAATATAAAAACTAGCCAGGCACAGTGGTGCCCACCTGTAGTCCCAGCTACTTGGAAGGTCAAGGTAGGATTGCTTGAGCCCAGGAATTGGAAGTTGCTGGGAGCTATCATACCACAGCACTCCAGCCAGGGCAACAGAGCAAGACACTATCCTAAACAAAATTATATATGGGATTCACCTATGCACTGCAACTTGAGAACTAACCACCGGGATATGTTCCTACTGTCCATGTGTTATCTCATTTAGTCATAGCATCTGTCCCCATGTCTGCAGGTAATGTCATTGTATCACCATGCTACCATGATCTAATCCAATCCTCAGTGGCTACAGAACCATTTCCCCATGGCACCACTGTCGCAAAGACACTTTTGTACTTAACCCAGTCATCTCCTAAAGGGCAGGGACGGAGATGGACATGCCATATAGCCCAGTGCATTTGGGCCCTGAGGCCTAGGGTCAACATAGCTGAGCTGCCCACCCCAACTAGCAGCCCCCTTGAACCATCACTCCCTTTCCAGGAGGAACAGAGCCCATAGAGCAAAGCTGCCTGCAGGAGTGGTGAGGCCCATCTGTAAGATGAAGGCCACCAGTGATAGTTTTCTAACAATAGTCTCAAAGCTTGAGCTTTGGCCTGTCCGAGGTAATCACGCCTAAGAGACTCCCGAGAGTCCCCAGAGAGTTTGCTCCGAGTGTCTGAGTGGAAATGCTTACCTCCTGGCCAGCCCAAAGTCAATGATCTTAATGTGGTGTCCAGTGTGACTGACGCACAGGATGTTCTCCGGCTGAGAAAGAGAAAGAGGTCTGTTCAGCCCAGCCCAGCTGACATGTGGCCTCATACCCATCTGGCTGCAGGCCTCAGTTTCTAGCCTCCAAGGACATGAATGTTCAGGGTAGCCCTAAGGGTGCAGACAGAGCATGGAAGTGAATGGAGTGGGTGAGCCAGTGAGGACTGGTGTGGACCTTGGGAACTCTTGGGCTCCTGGTCCACGTGAAAAGGGTGGCCCCTGCTCAGCTCCAACCATTGGCCACCACGCAGGAGCACAGGCACAACCACCAGAGCGCCGTCCTCCAGAGAAGCCAGAAATTCAGGGTTTTATGTGAAAATCTCATGTTGACAACTAAGTCAGATTTAAACACATTCACTCAGCAGAGCCCTGCAGTGAGGCAGTTTTGGCCAGCGTGACTGTGTGAGGCATCTGACCTGGGGCGGGGGGTTTTAGGGCCTGGCTGCATGTTGGAATCATCAGGGCAGCTTTTAAAAAGCCCCAGTGTCCCAGCCCTGACAAATTACATGAGTATCTCAGGGCTGAGACCAAAACAAGGCAGCTAAATGTCCACCTGTTATTTTGCGGTGACAGCTGTGACCCATGGAATGGGGGTGATGGCCTTGACCTGCTTCTCCTCCTACATCATTCCCATCAGCTCTGAGGCCCTGAGAGAGCCTAGAAGGACGCTGGCTGCTTGTAAAGGACAAATTTGGGTGTGTGTGTTGGGGTGACAGAGTGAGACTCTGTCTCAAAAACAAACAAACAAACAAAAAATAAAACAAGTCCCTAAGTCCCTTTTCAGACATATGATTTGGAAATATTATTTTTCCTATTCTGTGAGCTGTTATTTCACTTTCTTAATGGTAGCCTTTGAAACATAAACATTACTCATTTTGATGAAGTTTAATCAAAATACTTTTTTTTTGCAGTTTTTGGCCAGGGCCAGGTTTAAACCCACCACCCCTGGTATATGGGGCTGGCGCCCTACTCCTTGAGCCACAGGCGCCACCCTTATTTACTTATTTTTTGAGTTCTGTTGCCCAGGCTAAAGTACAGTGGCATCATCACAGCTCTCTGCAATCTCAAATTCCTTGCTAAGGTGATCCTCCTGCCTCAGCCTTTCCAGCACCTAGGACCACAGGTGCCCACCACAATGCCCAGCTATTTTTTGTTGCAATTGTCATTGCTGTTTAGCTGGCCTAGGCTAGATTCGAACCCACCAGCCTTGGTGTGTGTGGCTAGCCCTACCCACTGAGCTATGGGCGCTGCCACCTTTTTTTTTTTTTTTGAGACAGAGTCTTACTTTGTCACCCTCAGTATAGTGCTGTAACGTCACAGCTCACAGCAACCTCTAATGCTTGGGCTCCAGCGATTCTCTTGCCTCAGGCTCCCAAGTAGCTGGGACTACAGGCACCTGCCACAACATCCAGCTATTTTTAGAGATGAAGTCTTGCTCTGGCTCAGGCTGGTCTTTTTTTGTTATTCAGCAGGCCCTGGACAGGTTGGAACCCACCAGCCCCAGTGGATATGGCCAGTGCCCTAACCACTAACCTATGGGTGCTGAATCTAAAGTTAATTTCAGTAATATATTTTATTTAACACAACATATCCAAAATATTACCATTTCAATGGAAAAACAAACACTATCTGTGTTCAATACTAAGTTGTAACTACTCAACTAATACCTATACGCACATATGGAGGTAAAACTCAAGGGCAATCAAGTGGGAGTAGGGGTTGGGTTAATTCATACCTAACCAGGCCGTGCATGGTGGCTCATGCCTATAATCACTTGGGAGGCCAAGGTGGATTGCCGGGGCTCACAGGTTCAAGACCAGCCTGAGCCAGAGCAAGACTCCGCCTCTAAAAATAGCCAGGCGTTGTGTTGGGTGCCTGTAGTCCTGGCTACTTGGGAGGCTGAGGCAAGAGAATCGTTTGAGCCCAAGAGTTTGAGGTTGCTGTGAGCTATGACACCATGGCATTCTACCAAGGATAACAAAGTGAGACTCTGCCTCAAAAAAAAAAAAAA